ATGGCGGTGTCCAAATGCGTCTCCCCCGCTCAGCACGGCGTTTCGTGGCCCCACAGGGAGGTCCACCCAAGGCCCCAGTGGCGGTGTCCACATGCGTCTCCCCCACCCAGCACGGCGTTTCGTGGCCCCATAGGGAGGTCCACCCAAAGCCCCAGTGGTGGTGTCCACATGCATCTCCCCCACCCAGCACGGCGTTTCGTGGCCCCATAGGGAGGTCCATCCAAGGCTCCACTGGCGGTGTCCACATGCGTCTCCCCCGACCAGCACGGCGCTTCGTGGCCCAGTAGGGAGGTCCACCCGAGGCCCCAGTGGCGGTGTCCACATGCGTCTCCCCCACCCATCACGGCGCTTCGTGGCCCCACAGGGAGGTCCACCCAAGGCCCCAGTGGCGGTGTCCACATGCGCCTCCCCAACCCAGCAAGGCGCTTCGTGGCCCCATCGGGAGGTCCACCCACGTCCCCAGTGGCGGTGTCCACATGTGTCTGCCCCACCCAGCACGGCGCTTCGAGGCCCCATAGGGAGCTCCACTCAAGGCCCCAGTGGCGGTGTCCACATACGTCTCTCCCACACAGCACGGCGCTTCGTGGCCCCATAGGGAGCTCCACCCAAGGCTCCAGTGGCGGTGTCCACATGCGTCCCCCCCACCCATCACGGCGTTTCGTGGCCCCACAGGGAGGTCCACCCAAGGCCTCAGTGGCGGTATCCATATGCGTCTCCCCCACCAAGCACGGCGCTTCGTGGCGCCATCAGGAGGTCCACCCAAGGCCCCAGCGGCGGTGTCCACATGCGTCTCCCCCACCCAGAACGGTGCTTCGCGGCCCCATCAGGAGGTCCACCGAAGGCCCCAGTTGCTGCACTCGCATGCGTCTCCCCCGACCAGCACGGCGCTTCGTGGCCCCATAGGGTGGTCCACCCGAGGCCCCAGTGGCGGTGTCCACATGCGTCTGCCCCACCCAGCACGGCGTTTCGTGGCCCCATAGGGAGGTCCAGCCAAGGCCCCACTTGCTGCGCTCGCATGCGTCTCCGCCCCATCACGCCGCTTCGTGGCCCCATGGGGAGCTCCACCGAGCTCCCCAATGGACCCGTTCACAAGCGTCTCCCCCGCCCAGCACAGCGCTTCGTGGTTCCATAGGGAGTTCCACTGGAGGCCTCAATGGCACCGTCCACATGCGTCTGCCCCACCCAGTGCAGCGATTCGTGGCCCCATAGGGAGCTCCACCCAAGGCCCCGGTAGCAACGTCCACATGCGTTTCCCCCAAATGCAGCGCTTCGTGGCCCCATAGGCACCGAAAGCCACGGTGGAACCGTCCAAATGCTTTTTCCCCACCCAATACAGCCTTCCGTAGCTCGATAAGGAGCTCCACCGAAGGCCTCAATGAAGCCGTTCACATGCGTCTCCCCAAATCAGTACAGCGTTTTCCCCATAGGGAGCTCCACCTAAGGCTCGAGTGGCGGTGTCCACAGGCGTCTCTTCCGTCCAATGCAGCGTTTCGTGGTCCATAGGGAGCTCCACCGAAGATGATACCCACAGCTGCGGTACTCACAACTGCATATGGTTGGGTCCTTCGCCAGGCTAACTGAATATTTCTCCTGTAGAGGGACACGCCCGGCTTAACTCTGCCCCCCCATCATATCCACGGGAGGGGCCGCGGCGCATGGCAGGGGGCCTTGTGCGACTCGAGCATCGGGCCGGTCCCAGAGGGCCAACGCATTGAAAAAATCAAGACGGAGGTTTTTCGCAGATTTCGGCCCCAGGGGCCCTCGCCGGGCCTCGGGGCCAGTTTCCGCGCCGTGGTCGGCAGAGGCGAGACTCCGAAGGCAATGCCGAGCACGCTCCCTGGGCATGCGTCCAAGCTGTGCGTGCGGAACTCCTCTCGCGCCGCCATGTTGTGGTACCGATCTGGGCGGGCGGGGCTGTGGAATGGCACGGCCCACAGCCGCCTCTCCCCCGAGCCGGTGATGACTTTGAGGACTGTTGCCGAGGCGCTCTATGAGCACGTGGTGCCTGCGGTGCCGAATCGTGCATCGATGTGTGGCTTGAACGTTCGCACTCCTCTTATCGGTCCGAGGAGGAAGAATATCTGGCAGAGACTTCAGCCGCCACGCGCGGCAGCGTGCGTCGGGCATGGCGTAAGCGTCAACTCAGCCGCGTCCAGAGCCTTCACCAGACACAACCGACGGCTGGAGAGGCCTTGAACCAGATGGCCCTGGACAGTGCACCGTGGTGGAGGTAAGTGCGCCATTGATACCGATCCGTCGTTGGGAGCGGCGCCTGGCTGAGCATCGCAAGCGGAGGTGCTTAGCGGCACGGCTTCGGCCCCACACCCAAGCAACACGTCCAGATCTTCGACGGGGAAACGGAGGCGGAGGAGGAGAAGGGAGCGGTAGGAGGAGGGAGGGTGGGGAAGCAGGAAGGGGGATGGGGAGAAGAGGCCCAGACATGCGACGTCTTGATTGTTTCAATAACTGGTCCCCGGAAGTCCTGACCCTTTCTGCAAGGACGGCTTTTCGTTCAGAGCCCCGCGACGGCCCCGGGAGGCCGAAAGCAGCCAGAACCCTCTCGTCGGGACTTCTGCTTACGGAGCGAACCTGTGTCTCAGGAAGGCCAGTGGCGCCGTGAGCAAACGCTCGAAACGGGCGTCACCCGCGCGTGGGCCTCGTGAATCGAGGCCTCGGGCGGCGCACAGACAGCCCCCCAGGGTAGCCCCAGGCTGGCCCCAGCAGGCGCGTCGAGTGCAGTCCGGGGCGGTCTCGGCACCCTGCGTCTCTCCAGTGTTCTGCCACAGCGGCCGTTGCCAGCCCCGACCGCCCCCCCCCCAGGTAACTCACGTCACGACTCGTGCTCACCTCCGTAGACGTTCTCAGACGGCGCCCGCGCGAAACGTGCAAGCGTGGCATTACCAGCCCCCCCCAAACGCCCGCTATCGCCCAGGAGTTGAAGCACGCTCTCCGAGGGGGGGACTGTCCGTGCGCAGCCCGCAGCCTTCCCATGGGCCGCACCCTCTTGGCCGCGACGGCCAGATGCCTGCGGGAGGACCTCTTCGTCCTCTACAGGGAAACATCAAGAAGACACAACTGCATAAACATCAGGGAGAAAGGTCCAGCGCAGCTCCGAGAAATCCGCGCGGAGCGCCAAAAGTTTATGTTTATGGAGTTGTTTCTTCTTCGAGGGGGGCTGACCACGGGCCGCACACTCTTGCCCGCGATGGCCAGATGCCCGCGGGAGGCCCTCTCGTCCTCCACACCGGAGGGGCCCTGTGTCACTCAAAGGGCGTGCTGGGAGAAGAGCGCGGTGAGCGACAGGAGTCTCAGCTCCTCCCTCCTCCTCAAGGCAACGTCAAAAGGCCTGGGTCACCACCAGGGGGGCCGATCCGACATTGGATCCGACATTGCGACCAAATCGCCAAGAATCACGACCAGGGCCCTGGGCCCTTAAGTTGCATCCTCGGGGGTCGCGGCCCTATCCGCGTCGAATCCTTGTCGAATCCATGTCGGTCTCGTCGGATCCGTGTCGAATCCGTGTCGAATCCGCGGCGGATCCACGCCAAATCCGCGTCGAGCCCGCGTCGGGCACAAGAGAAGACACCGACTTCGGGGACGGGCGAGGCCCCCCCGAAGATGCAACCTGGGGGCCCCAGCTTCCTGCGGCGCTCTCCGAGCCGCCTCGATCCGTGATGGCACCGGGGCGACTTGGCGAAAGCGCACGCTGGGCAGGAGCTGCAACGCCCGGGTCTGAGGTGTTGGCGCTGCCCGAGTCCTGCCGTGCTGGCTGCCAAGCGTCGGGCCCGGGGCGCCTGCTCGCGCCGGGCTCGCGGGCGTCTACAGCTCCAGCGCGGGCTCGCCGGGGCCAGCCGAGGTGGACGCCGGGGGGGTGGAGCTGCCGCTGCGCTTCTGCTGTGGCTTGGCGGGCGCCGACTTGAAGGGCTCCACGATGATGCGCTTCCCGGCCACGGTCTGCTCCCTGCCCGCCCGCAGGACGGCCTCGACGGCCCTGGCGTCCGCCATGACCACGAAGCCGATGCTTCCGGGCCGGGTGCGCAGTTGGCCGCAGCAATGCCGGCTGAAGCGGTGCTTCACCCGGGAGTGCGGGACCAGCACCTCCATGATCTGCCCGAACGCTGCGTAGTGCGACGCCAAGATTTCTGGAGAGGACATCGCCAACGTGTGGATCCGCCGGACGACGAACACGCACTGGACATCCTGCACTGACGCTGGCGTGTTTGGACCGAGGCGGTCGCTTTCCCTGCGGGCCCAAAAAGGCCTCCCCGAGAGGCCTGAGAGGTGTGCCTCGGAGTCCCGAGGTCCGAGAAGCGGACCTCTCGATTTCCAACCGCCCCAGCAGGAGTAGCGATAGGGTCCTGCCGATGGCCAGAGATTCGTGGCGCCACAAAGTCTCCCCTTAGAGGGGGGTCGCCCGCTTCCGTCCTGGGGCCTGGCACGACTGCGGGGTCACACTCTGTGCGTGCCCGCTCGAAGATGGTGCGCCCCGGGTCTGGATCATTATGGTGCCACCCGTGGTGCACCCCCGAGCCTGCCCCCGCTCGCGGGTGGTGCGGCCCAGTGCCACACGGTGGTGCGGTCCAGGGCCGTCCCAGCTGCACTCCGTGCGTGCACGCTCGAGGGTGGTGCGTCCCATGTCCAGATCGGACAACTGCGCAGGCCCAAACAGTGGTAAAAAACCCAGACGCGCCCCTAAGAACGTCCCTGGACACGCCCCCTGGCATGTATACCGTGACGTGCTTCCGATCACTCCCCCAGACATGTCTCCGGGCACGTCTCCTGACACGGCCACGGGCGTATCCCTGGACACGCCCCCCGACACGACCCTTCAAGACGCCCCCCCACACGCCCCCAGACACGCCCCACGACAGGTCCCCTGACATGTGACATGTCCCCTGACGCAGACCCAGGCACGCCCCCCCCGAGCACGGCCCCACACGTGTCTCCAACACATGGTCCTGAGGACGTCCCCCCACGCAAATAAGCAGCGCAACCGTCAGAGGGAGGTCGGGCGTGCGGACGCCGTGTCCTGCTGGGGTAGCATCGGCCTCTCAACCTCCCACCAGTGACGCAAGCTCGGGGGCGTCCACGAGGGGGGCGTCCAAGGAGGGGGGCTTCGCAAGTCGTGGCCTGAGGCACGTGCGCGGCCAAGGGGGGGCCCAGGGGACGTATCATAAGACGAGGCGGCGCCATGAGATCAGGGGAGATGCCATGGCACTGGCCGTGATACCCCACCACCCTAGCCATCACCCCACCTCGGCCGCCCCCGACAAGCGACTCGGGCGCCCCCCCCGACCCGTAGACCCCCGGGCTTCTGCATGGAGCGCAGGTCCTGGGCCTCCAGCACCCGCAGGTGGTGCCCCATCGTGCCAGACCGCCCAGCTGACTCGTCCTCGTCTTGGCCGGGGCTGTCATCGCCACTTCCCGTCTCAGGGCGCGCTGGTGCTTGCTCTGCGTCGTCCTCATCCCCTTCCCAGACATCCGACGGACTGATTTTTCCAACCCGCGTGCCGCTGTGAACGTCCCGACCCCTGAACCACCTGAAGACAGCTCTTCCGCCCCGGATCCATTTTCGTGGCCCCTGGGCCTGGCAAACGGCCCGCCGGAGCCCGAAGTGAAGGAACAGCCGCCGCCAGGGTTGAACAAAACAGCCCGCCCAGAGATCTGAGTGCAGAGGCCTCCAAGCTGAGGTCCGAGCAGGCGGGGTCGGAGCATCGCGGCCCATCGTCGATGCATCGGCGACGCCGGCGTGGAGTAAGCCGGGCTCCACACCGAGCCGCAGCGCCGCTGCATCGGCGACACGGCGCAGCACTCGGGGGCAGCGTCGAGGCGGGGGGGGGAGGTCACCACCGGCGGGGCCGCCATGCCTCGAGGAGGCGCCACTTCCTCGAGGGAGCGGGCCCCCCCTGACGAGGGCACCCCAGAGCCGTCCAAGAAACGACGCCCCCAAGCGTCCAGCGACCTCCTCGAGCCTCCGTCCTGGAGCCTCGATCTCCAGGTGCTGGTGACCCCCCGGTGGTGACCCCTCTCTGGGGAGCAGAAGATGATCCACCCTCGCGAGAAGCGCCCCCGACGCGCGAAGCCGTGTAGCAAACGCACCCAGAAGGACTCGGACAGGGCAGGGCTGTTTAGTAAACGCCAATTCTCGGGTCCTGGTGGTTTTTCTTCCCTTGACTCTTGGCACTGCCCGATCCTCAGGCCCCACCCAGAAGGCCCCGAGAATGCCCTCTTGGTCGGCGTGGCTGGGCGCAGCCGCCTTGGCGGCGAAGCCGCGCGGCTGCTCTCATTAGGAGGCAACGCCAAGGAGGTCTTCGTCGGAACGATGGAGGGCTACTGAGCCAAGCGAACACGCCATTGAGCCGGATTAGCCCTGATTGAGTAAGCCCAGCATGAAACCCGATGAGGCCAGATTGCAACGCGGGGTTCAACGGAATCGAGCGAGTTGGTGTCGCATCGGGCCTGTTTGCGGCCACGGACATGCCAGCGCCGATGCTGAATCTGACCTTCCAGGAGATGCATCCCAGCTTGGGGGCCGCGGGGGGGGCCTCTGAACTCGTTGGGACCGCAGAAAATCCGTCAGGAGGGAGGGTACATCCGTTCAAAATCGGTCCCCAGACCCCTCCATTTGCAGTTTTTCACCCCAGATCCGCTTCTGACAGTCCCAGGGCCCGAAAACAGCCCCTGGGGACCGAAGAACGCCGAACGCCTCCTCGAACCCCAGACCCTGAACTGGCACCCCTCCTGCTCGCTGGAGCCCGTGCTGGGCCACCTCCGATCCCCTGCCGACTCCAACTCCCAGCTCTCCGCCGTCTTCGTTAGAGACCTCCCACATTGAGTGCGAGTAAACGGTCGGCCCGTATCATGAGGATGCGCGATGAGCATGCAAGGGCCTTGGACGCACATTTCTGAGCTCTTCGAGCGGGGCGCGGCCAGCGAGAGCGGCCAAGGATGGATCGAGGATGCAAGGTTGCTCATCCTAATATGCGGAGTGACTGCAGGTGGCGTCGGGGGATCGCGCCGCACCCCAGACATCTGGACGCTGCAATTTTTCTGGTGCGCGAGCCCCAGGAGGTCTGGACCAGTTCCCTCGGGCCGATTTTTCGTCCTGAATGGTTTTTTGACAGTCCCGAGGCCCAGCGAGGGCCCCTGGAGGCCGAACGTGGCCCCAAATCCCGCCGCCCCTCTTTTTTGGGGAGCGTCGCATCTCGTGCCTCGAGCCACCTGGAGACAGCTCCTCCGCCCCAGGACCCCTCTTTCTGCTGGCCCCGGCTGCCCCCGCCGCCAGGCCCAGGCTGGGCGGCGAGGCGGCGGCCCTGTCCTGGAGCGGAGGGCGGCGGCCCCGAGGAACCAGGGGGACAAAGGGCGGATAGCAGAGGATCGGGAGCAGAAGCAGGATGATGGAGCGGAGGGCGGCGGCCCCGAGGAACCAGGGGGACAAAGGGCGGATAGCAGAGGATCGGGAGCAGAAGCAGGATGAGGAGGGAGGAGGAGGAGGAGGAGGAGGAGGAGGAGGAGGAGGAGGAGGAGGAGGAGGAGGAGGAGGAGGAGGAGGAGAGGAGGAGGAGGAGGAGGAGGAGAGGAAGAGGAGGAGGAGGAGGAGGAGGAGGAGGAAGAGGAGGAGGAGGAGGAGGAGGAGGAGGAGGAGGAGGAGGAGGAGGAGGAGGACGGCGGCCCAGACACCCAGAGAGCCAACGTATTGACAAACAACAAGACGGATTTTTTTGCGGCCTTCGGCATCTGGGGGCCCTCGCCGGGCCCCAAGGCCGTCAAACAACTACACGGGGTGAAAAACCGGTCTTCGGGGATGGGTTGAGACTTCCGGGGACCCCGTATTGAAAAAGTCACGACATCGGATCTCTGGGCAAGCTCGCGACCTCCTGCTCGTCTTCGGCGTCGGCGTCGGTGTCGTCGTCGTCGTCGTCGGCGTCGTCGTCGTCGTCGTCGTTTTTGTCGTCGTCTTTGTCGTCGTCTTTGTCGTCGTCTTTGTCGTCGTCGTCTTCGTCGTCGCCGGCGCCGTCGTCGTCGTTGTCGGCGCCGTCGGCGCCGTTGTCGTCGTTGGCGGCGGCAGCGGCGTCGGCGGCGGCGGCGTCGGCGGCGGTGTCGTCGTCGTCGTCGTCGTCGTCGTCGGCATCGGCGTCGGCGGCGGCCCAAGAACGCTCGCGTCGCGAGGCTGCCCGGGGCCCGAGATGGGGCCCCGGCTTCCCAAACCCCGTCGAGTCTTGAAAAAATCACGACGGATGGTTTTTCACAATTTTCGGCCTCTGGGGGCCCTCGCCGGCCTCGGGGCCATCAAAAACAGCCTCGGGATGACAAGCCGTCAAAGATCAACTGGGCCGAGACCTCTGGGGGTCGACGTTGTGAGACACCCATGACGTCGGGGGTCTGGGGGGCCGAGAAGGGGCCTTGGCTTGGCCGCCCTGGCGCAACACGCAACGTAGACTGCACACGTAGGTATGACGCGACACGTTCGCTAACACGCGAGCCAAGTTACTCTGAGCCGACACGTAAAGTATTGGTAAGGACGCTTAAGCACGGCACGTGTTGCGTCTCAGAACGGGCGTGTCGATGCAGCCACGGGTCGAGTAGGGGATCGACTACAGAACTGATCTGCCCCAAATCAAATTTGTTTTAGAATCTACGAATAATAGATAGAGAGCGAATCTAGATATAATCAAACTCTACGTCTTTTCAACAAAAACAACAAGTTTCTGGTACATGAATTGTGTAGTCGATCTCCTACTCGAAAGAGTGCCCCTGCAGCCGAGGGTGAAGAGAAGTCACGGCATCGGAGGTCTGGGTCGCTGCAGCGTCCGGCAACGGCCGCCAGACGCCACAACCAATCCCTTGGATGAGGAGGGGGAGAAGGAGGGGGAGGAGGAGGAGGAGGACCAGTTTAAACCCTGGAGCCATCAACGATGTTGGAATAAGCCATCCCTCCCAGCTCCTTCGTCGCAGGCCCCTACAACGGTTCATGTTTTCACTGAGGGAACTGCCTCGTTGGAAGACAAACGTTTGAAGACCTCGAAGCATGCCAAAACATTGTTCTCATTCCAACACCACGGATCAAACTGCCTGTGGTGTCTTGACGATCCTGAATCGTGCCAGAACGCCATTCCTGGGACTTCAACACCGCGAATCAACGTAACTCTTGCACCCTCCTAATCATGAGCCCTTCCAGAACATCATTTTGGGTACGTTGACCATGGGAACCCGTTAGAATCTGGCGAACGTTTAAAGCGCCGATGCGATAACCACATTTTGAAAAGGAGCCGACCTCAATCCGTCAAGCTCTGAATTGTTTAGAACAAATGTGCGCGGCGCTAAAGCGAAAACCGCATTTTGAAAACCTCCCGCCCTCAATCCGTGAAACCCTTGCAGCATTACAAGACGAATGCGCGCGGCGCTAAGGTGACAACAACATTTTGACAACCACCCGCCCTCAACCCCTGAAGTTCTTGCAATGTTTAAAACGAATGTGCGCGGCGCCAAGGCGAGAGCCACATTTTGAAAATCACCCGCCCTAAATCCCTGAAGCTCTTGCAACATTCGAAAGCAAATGTGCGCGGCGCTAAGGCGAGAGCCACATTTTGAAAAGGAGGAGGAGGAGGAGGAGGAGGAGGAGGAGGAGGAGGGGGAGGGGAGGAAGTCAATTCCCTGAGAACAGAGGGGTCGCACATAGCGCCTTGACTGCAGAGACCCCCAGCGACGAAAACACATTGGCCTTACGCAAGATGAGATAGCGACCTTTCGCCGCGGCTTGCTCGGACCAACAGTGCGGCACGCCACACTGGAAACGTGGGAGCTCACGCGCGACCTTGCGCGGGCAGCCTGCGTGCCAATGTCAATGGAAACGAGCACATTTTCCTTCGTCGCTCAAGTGAGAAGGGGCGGGCCTTCTCAGAAGGCTCGGAAGTCCCCAGGCCGAAAGGTTCTAAAGCCCTCCCCGAAGACACAGAAGACTTCTCAAAGGCGCGAGGGCTTCTGAGAAGTCCCGCCGACTCCTGAGAGGAGGGCCTTCTCCTTTTCACTTCCCCCCCTTGTTCGCCGCCGACCAGCACGGCCCTGGCCAAGCATGGTGGACACCCAAACGTGTTCGTGCCGTGCAAAAGTCAGGACAGGAGGCTTTTTGTCGTTGTCGGCCTCTGGGGGCCCTCGCCGGGCCCCGGGGCCGTCAGGAATCAACTCGGGCTGAAAAGCAAGCCCCCGGGGAAAGGGTCAGGACTTCCTGACCCCCGAGGTCATGATTTCTCACAGCGTCGACCCCCGAAGGTCTCGACCCATTCCCTGGGACTGGCTTTCCATCCCGAATCGTTTTTTGACGGCCCCGAGGCCCGGTGAGGGCCCCCCAACGCCGAAAATTTAGAAAACCTACCGTCGTGATTTTCCCATGACTCGAGGGGGTTGCTCCTGTTCCTCCTCAACCTCGTCCTCCTCCCCCTCTCCTCCTTACCCTCTTCTCCTGCTGCTGCTGCTCCTCCTCCTCGTCCTCGTCCTCGTCCTCGTCTTCGTCCTCGTCCTCCTCCTCCTCCTCCTCATCCCGCTCCCCCGGTCATCGTCTTCGCCAACGTCCTTCTCACTCGGAGGAGTGAGAAGGACAATCA